CGGCAGCCACGTGCTATAAATACTGCACTCCTGGTGCCACCTTCACCTCTATCTGCGAATGTCTCTGATGATGGGTTCGAGTAAGAATCCGAAACGTCAGGCAAATAAACTTCTTGTCCCAGTGATCGCATCTTCATCTTCTAAACTGCTACCTGGGACTCGCCTGTTCGCTTCTATCCTCAATCGGCTTATCCGCAGGGATAACCATTAGTATTTCGATGCTGGTTAAAGGTGAGTCAGGTAAGCAGAGGGCGACAGAATTCCAACAAGATATACTGGCCAACCATCACAAGGCTGTCTACGGATGATGTTTCTTCTTCAGGTACGCGCATGTTTTATTGTGGTCACCAGCGTTTGATTGGCAAGTTAGCCAAAACTTAGATCCTAGAGGCAAAGCATGGGAAAATCGGGCGTGTAATAATTGGTGACAAGTGCCGTACTGATGTATTCCAGGATGATGCAGAAAGACAGAAGCTGTAAAATTAGAAAAATCGGCTAGGCTTGGCTCTGCAGCAACCCCACCTAAGTGATACCATATGATTATCTTTCTTCATATTGACCCAACTGTGAAAAACTCGGCGCCTCGGTGGAATTCGAACCCACGCAGTAAGGGGGAAGGCTTTAGTACAGCCAACACTCTAACCACCTGAGCTACGAGGCCCCGCCGGACGACGCGAGTCTTATCACACTTGGGTCAAGTTACCCGCCCAACCTACTGCAACGTCTAGGATCCACCAAATCTGATACAATAAGTTGACTGCCCAAACAGGATTTCCTAATTAATTCACCTAGAATCCACCAGATGACTACTAGGCTCACGTAATTCATTGATAATTTGGCAGATTTTGAATAATTCATATTGACCCAACTGTGAAAAATTCGGCGACTCGGTGGGATTCGAACCCACGCAGTAAGGGGGAAGGCTTTAGTACAGCCTCGTAGCTCAGGTGGCTAGAGCGTTGGCTGTACTAAAGCCTTCCCCCTTTACTGCGTGGGTTCGAATCCCACCGGGGCGCCAATTTTTTCACAGTTGGGTCAATATGAATTACTCAAAATCTGTCAAATTATCAATGGATTATCTTTCTAAAAAATGGTAGACGTGAATAAGCTGAATTTACAAATATCACCTTGTTGCATTTTCCTTGTCATTTTAATCCAGCCAGTGAGTATGCCAGGGGGAAGAAGTGCTCAGGTATCAGTTCACACGCACTTCCCTGCGCATGCTTCGAGCCCTGTTTTCGCTCTCCTTATTACCCTAATCCAGCGAGTGACTAAGAAGACTTGCCAATGGAAGTGTTTAGACGGTGTGGAAATCTGTCGGTTCCACTTCAGTGGTCATGTCCTGCAAATTACCAGGGAGTTCCCACAGTGGCATTCCAGCTGTGATTATGGCCTCTTTATCCTCTACATCCAGCGAGTGGTTGTTTCGGGGGGAGTGTGTACACGACACCTTCAGTTGCTTCCCTGTATCCCCTTTACCCTCCTAATCTAACGAGCGGCTAAATTAGATATGTTAACCAAAATTGTTTTAGTCAGCTAGCCATATGATATCAAGCAAGTGCGGCTGCAGAACCAAACTTCACCAAAAAATTCAACGATGCCACTGAAGTCTCTGAAAGTTATTTATATCTCCACTCCCTGTTTAAGCACACAAAAGTGAGTGCGCAGTGTTTGGTATTAGGGTGTCACCTACCAGTATACTTTTCATTTCTACGCTTGGGATTTGCGATCTTAGTAGACGTATCTCTTCTACATCTCTGTCCCCGTCGCCAATTTTTCATCTTTAACTTCACGCAACTGTTCTGCATCGATCTGTAGGCATATCCGACGTTGCCAGTCCCACTCGGTAAATGTCAGATGCCCCACTGCTGTGGACAGGGCGACACGCAATCTCAGAGACGGCCAATTCAGATAGTTTTTTTAATACAGTGGATGTGACAAGTCGGGAAATGTCATGTATTTCACAAGAAAATCTTTGTGATGTAAAGTCCGTGCAAGCCGCGTTCCCTAAAGTCTTGTAGCGGCAAACAAACGACCGTTCTTAAAAAGAAGGCATAGTTGGATTCATAAATTAGTACAGACTAACATAGCAATAAATTGCTTTCACTCTAAATTAGAGTTTCAGAAAATGGCTGTATTAACAATAACTTACACAAGGCTAATTATGAGGGTGAGTAAGGAGGGGGGACGCAGGAAAAGGCAGAAATGATGAAACATAATAAGACGCAAAAACAGTACTTTACTGACTGTCCGTTCGCATTTATCGCAACCGAAATGGAGACAATCAGATTGTCTAAAGTGAATTGTTCAATACGATTATCTAGCATCAGATCAGGTTTCTTCTGTTGTGAAAGATTCTTCTTTGCTTTATGCCAATTTCTTCTGATAATTACGGAATGAGTTCCGATAGGACTAAGGTCCGGGCCGTTGGCGGGAATAAAAATCGATTGGAGGCCAAATGCGGAGGGACTGAGTGTTGTCTGAAGGTTAGTTGCAGTATCAGACATTATCAGATTCATATCTCTTTAGAGCAACGAACAGGATTATTGTCGTGTAAAATTTTGGCCCCTTTACGAGTACTGCCCGCGATCTGCGGATGACTGCGCACTCGAAACTGCTGCGACCGAAGCAGGCATGAAACGGAGCCTGAAGCTCTTCGCCTCAGGCTTCGCGAACTTTGAGCTGGCCATCAACGCGGGCTAGCCGGTGCCCGTGCATAATCTGCCTCCCGACGTTGCATACAGAGATTTTCGCATCCACGTCAGCGACATTCACATGATGACCGTGAACAACTTCGCCTACATAGGCAGTACCTTGACTGACGCATCAGTTCAATCCATTCAGTTGTGTGTGTATGCGTTTGTGTGGAGTGGCGGACTGATGGGCTGAGAGCCAGGTTACAATGACTCTTTCTTAACGTGACCTCTGTTATTCTCGCACATAAGGGACGTGTGTGTATGCGGATAGTGTCCACTGTATCTCCGAAGCCAGCAAAACCCTCGGCTGGCCGGAGGACTTCCTTTGAAATGGCCATGGTTTCCACCTCAAAACCAGGCTGTAGACGTACAAATTTTCATCTTGACGACACTGCTGTATTGTGTGGAGACCTGGACAAACTAAAATTGACATGCGCAGAAGATCAATCAATTCCATCGCGGTCTTCTCTGGCAGATAAATAAATAAGTAAATAAGTAATTTTTGTCCAAGACCCGTGGGGGTCTATCATAGCAGGTAAGAATAAACTTCATATGGATTTTAGAACAGGTATCTACACAATACTCAATTCCTAATTATTGAATAAGTAGCCTGTTACGAGGAATGATGAACGAGCGGTGAAAAACTCCATTATCGAGCAAGCAAAATGAATATAACTGGATTAAAACTATAGGAAAAAACTGTCGCTCATAAAAGCATGAAAAGCGGACAGGACCGGCCTGCGTGTGACAGTGTATAACGGATTTTATGAAGGGATCAGCATGTAGTAAAAGGTTCGAAACGAACATCGTCAAGGCAGAATTCGCATGCCGGATGAGGCTATGCACGTCAAAGTGGCAAGACAAGAAGAACTCAGACGCGATCAGCCACAGTCCGTTTCGAGTCCAGTCGAGGCGGGGGCAAGGTAAATGCGACTAAAGACAACCATAATTTTCGTCTGCACTGTTATAATTCCACCCCTTCCAATGGAGATCCTGTTCACAGAGCTGGATGCTACGATACTGTTATTTTTACCAATCTTTACCTCGTTTGCGGATTGAGGGACACGGCGTGGTGACAGGACAGGAAGCAAATTTGTAGAAATATTAGATATATGACCCCCCTTACACTTTGAATCTGTCTGAATTAGCCGTAGCGTAACGGCCCTGCGGCAGTTGGGCGTCGTGAATGACGTAGGTGGCAGGCGTCATATCCTCAGCACTCACAAACGGGCCTTAGCGGGGATGAAAGGATTATGAGGATGTGTCAATGGGAAGTACTAGCCCGTTGCATAAAACTAGATTATGAGGCTAATAAGACGAACGGTGTGTATGCCGGTCAAAGTAGTTTTTCTGACGATCATAGGAGGTTGCGAAGTGATTGCGCACAAAAGTTTGCCTGACACGGAGGACTTTTGTAGTTTCATAACATACATATCACTCCTCCCCTATAGCAATTATTTTCGCCGTTCTTGATGTCATTTTCTTACCTCGACCTCAAGCGGTCTGTCGACGCTCACAGCGGAACCCTTCGTATTCGCTGTCTACTAGTAATTTGATCTTACCTCCCTTCCCCACTCCTCGGCTGGGCTCGAAGCGGACTGTGGTCGATCGCGTCTGGGATCCTCTCTTCTGGCCTGTTTGACGCGAATAGTCTCAACCGGCATATCAATTCTGCTCTGAAGATGTCCGTTTGGAATCCCT